GCCTCTTCCTTCTTCCTAGTCTGTCTCAGTCTGTAAGCTGGGCTGTTACCTGTGCACGAGGTGCATCTCGCTGGGTTTTAAATACCAGAGGCTCAGCCTCAAAACTCACGTCTACATGTCACCACAGTAGGACAAACCGACAGACAGGTTTGTCCTGCTGTTGGAGACCTCTCGTACCACCCCCACCTGGGTCTAATTGATGTTAACAGTCTTAAAAAAAATGACATTAATTTGTGAACCTCATTTGAACTCTGATTCCAGCAGATAATCTACAAAGAGACATTTTTTAAACATTTTGGGGAAATTGAACATGAACTGGGTAATAGGCGAATGTATGGAATTATGTAATTAGGTGTGGTGAAGGTTTGGGGGGCTGGCTAGGCCTTGTCTGTCAGAGATACAGGATGTGTGAGATTTGTTTTAAGTTTCTTTTTTTTTTTTTTAAGGATAGCTATTAATCATTTTTAAAGATGAGTTAATTGGAGATATGGGAGGTCATAATGCTATTTTATCTCCCCTATGAATTTTTTAAAATTCTGATTTTAAAAAGTTAAAAAAGTGGTAAAGGAAAATGGAGACAGGAGCTTTACCGGGAGACGGGTTCTCCTTGACATCGTCTCTTCTCATTTCTTTTCTGGCTGCATTTCCAAGAGTCCACTGCAAGAGGTGGCATGTCCACATTCCTGTTTATGCATGTCCACATTTGAGTTTAATAGCAAAATAACATGTATTCTTGCTTTAAAGGAGGGAAAATGCAGAGTCAATGCTCAAATATTTCTTCCTCTGACATTAGGTTTCTAGAACCTTTGAATGAAGGAGTAGCTGTGATTTATATATACAATAGCACACAATCTGAGGAAAGTACAAATGATGTTTTATAGCAGTGGGTTAGTGAGGTCTTCTGTATCTAGCATGCAGGGAAGGGAAGAGGATATAAAAGGGCTGATGAAGTAGCTAAACTTAGTGGTGAAGGCACACCAAGGCTGGGGATTCTATTACCTGCTCATACCAGCATGCTTAGACATCGTAAAGGGCATTGGAAACCCCAAAAGCTAATTTCAGGATTGATTATTTCACCAACTTTAGTCAGTCAAGGAAATTGTATTTTTCGCTCTTTGGTTTTGTGAAGAGGCTGGAGTACAAAGGAGTCAAGATGTATTCCAGATAGTACTCAAATCAGTGGAAGAAGGTAGGCTATGAAGGCCCATGACCCCCAACTTTTCAGTTTATTTAGAACACACACATGTACACACAAGCACACTGCACACTGATTTTTTTTTTAATTGTGGTAAATGTATATGTAGGAGTCTTGGTGGCACAGTGGTTAAAGCACCTGGCTGTTAACTGAAAGATTGATGGTTCAAAGCACTGTCCTCTGGAAATCTGCTTCCATAAAGACTTTCTGACTTATGCTATACTCTGCTGTGTAAGGTCTCTGTGACGTGGAATCGACTTGATGGCAGTAAGTTGTGTTTTTA